AACATAGGCTCAAATTCTCACAGGGTTCAAATGTCGACTTGACTCAACGTATCACCAATCAAATCTCATTAGTCATGCTAGACAAACTTATCACACAAACCACCTTTGACTCACTTCAGACAAATCTCAAAAGCATGTAAAATGACAGCAAATCAGGCATAAAAATTAGCACAAAAAATGAAAAATTTGCCTAAGATTTTGCATAACTCTCCCCACACCTAAAGTATGCATTGTCCTCAATGTAAAGAGAGTAATAAAAAAATAGAGGGACTTCCCCGGAGTCCGTGAGGTGGAGCAATTGCACGTTTTTGCTTTGCTTGCCAATGCCTTTGGAGTTGCTCACGCGCCATTTTTAGGGAAGGCTTGAAGTTTCGTGTAAGTCCTACAAAAATAAGCTAGCCAAGTGCAAAATATCCCAAGAAAGTGATATGTGATCTAACTATTCAAATGTCTTTCTCAATTTAGGCACAAAGGAAACAATATAGAACAAAGTCAATAAGAGAGCATATATAGCACCTAAACATTATAAAACACATATCATAGGAATTGAATTTCAATCTCGATTCCAAATTTAAGAATCGCAAAGCCTCAGTAAATTATCTCCAAAAATTGAAAGAATTAGAACAAAGGGATGAAGAGATATTACCCATTTAAAGGAGCGGATGTGGTGATCGGCTGAAGTTGGACTCGGCGGAGAGCGGTTCGTGCTGGTCGGAACAACGGTGATGACTGAGCAGGGGAGGAAGAAGTCGAGGGCGATGCGCTGGAGGTTGGAGGCGGCGACTGGTCTAGAACTCAGGTGCAGGGGCGGCTTCTGGTGGAGGGCGACGGCACGGTCTCGGTTTCTGGCGGAGAACGATCGTCAGAAGGAGGAAGGAATCGGCGGCGTCCGGCAGAGGCAAGACGATCGTCGGCGTCTGAATCGCCGGAGGAAGGAATCGCGACTGCTGGGCAGAGGGGAAGAAGAGGGAGAAAAAGAAGAAAAAAGAGGAGAAGAAGAAGAGGAGGAAGTGCAGGCGGGCGTCTGGTTCGGCGGAGGGCGAGCGCGAGGAGGGGAGAAGAGAGAGAAAGAGAGAGAGAAAAAGGGGTTTTAAATTTTATTTTTTTTGGTTTAAAAAAATTGATGCGTCTTCGTGAAGAGCTAGTAATTATTTTCCTAAAGACCTGCACAAAACCAAAAAAAATTATCAAAATTATTATTAGCAATTAAATAATAAAAATAAATAAATTAAAGAAAGCAATTAAATGATTTGGGTTGTCTCCCAAAAAGCGCTTTTCTTTATAGTCTTTAAGCTAGACTTCGTCGCGTCTCACTCCTCAACTTCGACATCAGCGAGAGACACCAACTCTACAGATTCAAGCGGGAATCCCTCGTAATATGACTTAAGACGATGTCCATTGACCACAAATTTTTTCTCTGTCCTTAAGCTCTGAATCTCTACTGCACCATAAGGAAAAAGTTTAGTAACGATAAAAGGCCCTATCCACCTAGAGCGCAGCTTTCCACGGAAAAGCTTAAGACGAGAGTGATATAATAAGACTTTCTGTCCAATCTCAAAAAATTTTATGGAGATGTGATGATCATGAAAAGGCTTTTGTCTTTTCCTTGTAAAGTATCGCATTCTCGTATGCCTCTTGTCGAATCTCCTCCAGCTGTTGAATTTGCATTTTTCGATGGGTTCCGGCATCTTAAAGATTCATATTGCACTTTTTCACTGCCCAAAATGCCTTGTGTTGAATTTCCACAGGTAAATGGCAAGGCTTTCCATACACAATCGAAATGGTGACATCCCTATTGGTGTCTTGTATGTTGTTCGATATGCCCACAGAGCATCATTGAGTCTCGAGCTCCAATTTTTTCTATTCGGTTGAACTGTTTTCTCCAAGATAGATTTGACTTCGCAGTTGGAGATTTCAGCTTGTCCATTCGTTTGAGGATGATATGAAGTTGACACCTTGTGAAGCACGCCATATTTTCGAAAAAGTGCAGCCATGGTTTTGTTGCAAAAGTGAGTCCCTCTGTCACTCACAATTGCCTTTGGCACTTCAAATATCGAGAGAAGATATATGACTTAATGAATTCTGCAGTCACCTTAGAATCATTAGTTCGGGTCCACCCATTTTGAGACATAATCAACAGCCAAGATAATATATAAGCATCCATATGAATTAGGAAAAGGTCCCATCAAATCTATACTCCACACATCAAATATTTCGACAAACATCATAGGCGATTGAGGCATTTGATTACGGGAAAATAGATTACCTGTTCGTTGACATCTATCACAAGACTTACAAAACTCAAATGCGTCCTTGAAGGGAGTAGGCCAGTAAAGTCCACTGTCCAACACCTTTCTAGCTGTCTTCTTGGATCCAAAGTGTCCACCACATGCCATAGAGTGACAAAAGGTCAAAACAGAATGAAATTCACCTTCATTAACGCACCTTCGAATGATTTGATCAGAGCATCGCTTCCAAAGGTAGGGGTCATCCCAAATGTAGTATTTTGCATCGCTACGGAGCTTATCCCTTTTCGCCTTTGCCCAACCTGCAGGAAACTCGTTAGTGACTAAGTAATTAACAATATCAGCATACCAAGGGTGTGTAGTCGCAATAGAGAGAAGTTGTTCGTCAGGAAACGACTCTCGAAGAGGAACTGCATCTGACTCCACGGGTATGCGACTCAAGTGGTCAGCTACCAAATTTTCAGTTCCTTTCTTGTCGCGAATCTCTATGTCGAACTCTTCCAGAAGGAGCATCCATCGAATTAATCGAGGTTTGGCTTCCTTCTTTGCCATCAAGTAACGCAGAGCTGTATGGTCAGAGTACACAAACACTTTAGTGCCTAAAAGATAAGATCTAAATTTATCAAGAGCAAAAACAATAGCAAGCATCTCTTTCTCCGTGGTGGAGTAATTTAATTGAGCGTCATTCAGTGCTCGTGAAGCATAGTAGATGACATGAGAAGCTCTCCCAACTCGTTGCCCTAGAACGGCTCCCACTGCAGTATCGCTTGCATCACACATCAACTCGAATGGCAAGTCCCAATTCGGAGGTTTAATAATCGGTGGTGTTGTGAGGCGCTCCTTCAGTGCTCTAAATGCCTTCTTGCAATTGTCATTGAACTCATATGCTACATCTTTCCGCATGAGGTGAAACAATGGTGCTCCAATCTTGGAGAAGTCCTTGTTGAAGCGTCGGTAGAAACCTGCATGTCCTAAAAAACCACATAGCTCTCGCACAGAAGTAGGGTAAGGTAAAGCAGTGATTAGCTCAACTTTAGATTTATCTACTTCTATACCCTCATGTGACACCTTATGGCCTAAAACAATTCCTTGCTGAACCATCAGTTGACATTTCTCCCAATTGAGCACAAGGTTAGTTTCGATGCATCGTTTCAAGATTAAAGTCAAATTGCCTAGACAATCATCAAAACTAGAGCCATATACACTAAAGTCATCCATAAAAACTTCAATGATTCGCTCAATATACTCAGAGAAAATACTTACCATGCATCTTTGAAATGTAGCAGGAGCGTTAAACAAACCAAAAGGCATCCTTCTGTAGGCGAAAACTCCAAATGGACAAGTGAATGATGTTTTCTCCTAATCCTCGGGTGCTATCGCTATCTGAAAATAACCTGAAAATCCATCTAAAAAGCAGTAATATGTGCGAGTCGTTCAATCATTTGATCAATATAAGGAAGAGGAAAATGATCCTTTTTTGTTACGGCATTGAGCTTACGGTAATCTATGCACTGGCGCCATTCAGTTTGTTTTCAAACAGGGAGCTTTTCTCCTTCTCGAGTCTCTTCCACCATTACTCCAGCTTTCTTGGGAACCACTTGAACCGGACTCACCCACCTACTATCGGAGAGAGGGTAGATGATACCAGCATCGAGAAGCTTTAACACTTCTTTCTTGACTACCTCAGTCATAATCGGGTTCAACTTCCTTTGAGCTTGTCTCACTGGTTTTGAATCCTCCTCGAGTGTGATCCTATGAGTACAGAACAAGGGATCAATACCTTTTATGTCAGCAATCGTCCATCCAATGGCGATCTTGTGATCTTTTAGAACCTTAATCAATTTCTCTTCTTGTTCTGGTGTCAATTTTGCAGAGATGATCACCGGTAGAGTCTTCTTCTCTCCCAAATAATCGTACTTTAGAGTTTCAGGTAAAGGCTTCAATTCCAATTCAGGTGCCTGCATCAAAGATGGTAATAAACATTGATTCTCATGTAAGAATATTGGAGCTAATTCATACCTTGGTGACACTCTCGGAGTTGAGTTAAACTCCTTGAGAACTTTTCTTATTCTCTTGTCTACGGCTATCTCTCTCCTATGTTCTTTCTCCAGATGTTCCATCAACACGATCTTCAATTGTCGGAACCACTTAATCCAAATGCGTCCTGCACCAAGGGATCAATGATATCAATTGCATATAATATTTCAGAATCAACAGGATGTTTCATAGCATCAAAAATATTGAAATGGACTTCTTCTCCATCAAATTCCAAAGCGAGAGTGCCCTTCCGTACATCAAATTTTGCTTCTGCAGTGCACATAAAAGGTCTTTCTAACAAAAAAGATGGTGGATTAAAGCAGTGTGCATCATGCATATCCAGAATATAAAAATCAATAGGAAAAATTAAGTCATTAACTTGAACTAGCACATCTTCTATAATACCATCAAGGTAAGCATTGGTTCGATCAGCAAGTTGAATAATAATTACTGTTTCTTTTAAAGGCCCTAGATTTAAAGAGTCGTATATTGATCGTGGCATGACATTAATAGCAACTCCTAGATCTAGCATAGCCTTAGTTATCTCAGTTTTTCCAATCCTACAAAGGATAGAAATATACCTGGATCACATGTTTTGGGTGGTACCTTTCTTTTGAGAACAGGAGAAACGTTCTCACCCGCTATAATGTGTTCGTCCTCTGGCAATTTCCTTTTTTTAGTGCACAGTTCTTTCAAAAACTTCACATAATTGGGGATTTAGCTGATAGCCTCCATGAGCGGGATATTAAGTTCCACCTTCTTGAAGATTTCCATCATCTCTTTTCGTTTGTTCACCTTTTGTGGTCTTTTAAACCTATCAAGAAAATGAGTTGGTTTAGCTTCAGTATGAGGAACAGAGTTATAAGGTACCTTTTCATGAAGTTCGGCCTCTTTTTCAATCTCCATCTCAATCTGATCTTCATTCTGTCCCTTCGAGATAGGAGGTGGACCTTCCAATTCCTTTCCGCTGCGAAGAGTTATGGCACTGATGTTCTTCGGGCTTTGCTCTAGTTGCGCAGGCCACTTTCCTCTTTCTTGTAGCTGTTTTACCTCTTCTGACACTTGGCTAATCTGACTTTGTAGCTTGTCGACAGTTGACTTCATCTCTTTCTGGAATTGCAGGGTACTGGTAGCCATAGACTTCACCAAGTCCTCCAAGAACGGACTGGAGTTGCTTGTGGGTGCTTGGGGGAGCTGTTTCTCGTAAAGGCGAGGCTGTTGCATCTGATGTGTGCCTCCAAATGGTTGAGGACCATGATTCTGGTGTGAGTTTCCATACCACAGGTTTGGAAGATCTCTCCAGCCTAGATTGTAGGTGTTGGAGTATGGATTGTACGCTGGAGGTCTATTCATACCGTATTTTGCAGCGTTCACATCCACTGCACATTCTTCTTGGAGGGTCTGACATCTATCTGTAGGGTGTCCTGTACTCGTGCATATTCCGCACGCCTTGACCTGGACACTCGGGTTGGATTTTTCCACGACCATCTTGCGAACAAAGCTCGTCAACTTAGAAAGTTGTTGCTGTATTGATTGGATGGTATGGTCGTTGTTTCCGCTCATATGTCCAACATCTCTTGAACCAAATTGCTGCGTATTTTCAGTCATCCTCGCAATAAGATCCCAAGCTTTGCCGGTATCTTATTTACTAAAGCTCCACCACTTGCAGTATCGATGATATTCCTATCCATCAACGATAAACCATCATAAAAGTATTAAATCAATAACTGAGGGGGAATTTGATGTTGTGGACATTTAATGATTAGCTTATTAAATCTCTCCCAATATTCATGGAGCATTTCACCTGATTGTTGTTTGATGCCACATATTTCCTTCCTCAGAATCGCAGCTCTGGAAGCTGGAAAGTACTTCTCCAAAAATTTCTTCTTCATGTTGTTCCACGTGTCGATGCTTCCGGGTGGAAGATTGTAGAGCCAATCCTTTGCAGCATCTTTGAGCGAGAATGGGAAGGCTCTTAGTTTGATCTGTTCATCAGTAACACCTGGTGGTTTCATGCTGGAGCATACCACGTCGAACTCTTGCAAGTATTTGTGAGGTTCTTCGCCTACAAGTCCATGAAAAGAAGGCAGTAAATGAATTAAGCCATATTTTAGTTCAAAAACTATAGTGTTATTCAGAGTTGGAAAGTTAATGCATAAAGGCTGCTGCGCCAAGTCGGGAGGAGCCAACTCCCTTAAAGTGCGGGTGTCCTCAGCCATGACAGTCTCTTGATCACTTTCAGAGTCGCTAAAGCTAGAGATTCTGAGATGGTTTAAAGATTCTGCCAGCTTCGCAACCTGAGCAGTTTTTCGTTGCTTGGCTTCCTTTCGTAGCTTTCGCTCAACCTTCTCGATCTCAAGATTAAATATCAGTTCACCTGTACGAGAAGAACGGGGCATAAACAAGAGCATAAATTAAAATAACACAAAAGAGTAAAATAAAACGAAAATCCCCGGCAATGGCGCAAAAAATTTGCCCAAGATTTTGCATAACTCTCCCCACACCTAAAGTATGCATTGTCCTCAATGTAAAGAGAGTAATAAAAAAAGAGAGGGACTTCCCCGGAGTCCGTAGAGGTGGAGCAATTGCACGCTTTTGCTTTGCTTGCCAATGCCTTTGGAGTTGCTCATGCGCCATTTTTAGGGAAGGCTTGAAGTTTCGTGTAAGTCCTACAAAAATAAGCTAGCCAAGCGCAAAATATCCTAAGAAAGTGATATGTGATCTAACTATTCAAATGTCTTTCTCAATTTAGGCACAAAGGAAACAATATAGAACAAAGTCAATAAAAGAGCATATATAGCACCTAAACATTATAAAACACATATCATAGGAATTGAATTTCAATCTCGATTCCAAATTTAACAATCGCAAAGCCTCAATAAATTATCTCCAAAAAGTGAAAGAATTAGAACAAAGGGATGAAGAGATATTACCCATTTAAAGGAGCGGATGTGGTGATCGGCTGAAGTTGGACTCGGCGGAGAGCGGTTCGTGCTGGTCGGAACAACGGCGATGACTGAGCAGGGGAGGAAGAAGTCGAGGGCGACGCGCCGGAGGTTGGAGGCGGCGACTGGTCTGGAACTCAGGCGCAGGGGCGGCTTCTGGTGGTGGGCAACGGCGCGGTCTCGGTTTCTCTCTGCTCAATAGGCGTGTATTTTCCCCTTCTTATTTAATTTTTGCCCTAATTGTTTTGTAAATGGGTGTTTGGGCCTTTAATTAATTTCTCATATCAAGAGGGTGTAGTTAGTCATGGTCATGACTAACTAGGTTGTGCAAATCTGAATTTTTCTTTCCTTTTTCTGCCAATTATATCAAATTTGATATTTACCCCCTGCACACAACAAATAAACAATTCACATATAAATTAGGTAGAATCCAATCAAAATCACTCAAATATCGCATATAATATAAACATAAAACGCATGCGATTTCTAACTATCACCAAGATTCTGTGTGGCCAGCCTGTAAACATCGGCGTACTAACAGTCATAACATCATTATTCGGGGAGACGTACTCATGACTGCCTTTGGTCATGACAATCTAATTACCGAGTTGTGTCATGTAGCAGGAGTGGAGATCCTTGCGAAGCAGCCTCTGGTTGATTTACCCTCGCAGTTGCCACTAGAATTCCATCACAGATGACTAGAGACAATGAATTTTTTTTCCGATGCCTAAATGGATAACGACAACATCTGGACAGGTAGGCCAGCCAAAGAAGAAAAAGCCAAAGAGAGTTGAATTGCCACTAGCCCTACCCTTTCCTTTGCAAAAGCTGAGTATCACGGATAGGGGTGATAATTTTGAAATCAAGTATGCTGAAGTGGCAATGATAAAGAAACCAACCACTTCGACGGTTAAGGGAAAAGGAAAAGTGGCAGAGAAATTACGAGCAAGATCGCAGAGCTCGCCTTGGTCGCCACTCTCTAGGAAAAAAAGATTGTTCAATAGGAACTGGCGTTGTGACCATATCCGCCATCTCCAATACTCCATCCGCCACCACAATCCAATATTCCGCCACCCAGAAAGGGGGTGATATGCTATGTTGTGAGCAAATGGGTTTGGGTTATAAGGATCTCCAATCGCCATCATAGGAAGAAGCTTGCCAGCCAGTATTAACCAGTTCCATTGCAAGCTTATCTATAGGAAGAGTTATCAATTTGGTATCTGAAGGATGTACACAATCACCAATTGATCATATAGATTCATTTGATGATCCTGAGGCTAAGGGGCGAAACTAGAGGACGATGACAAGCGTCTAGAGATGCAGGAAGCAGCGCAATTATCAGCGCTAAAAGGGAAAGCTTAGCTGGAGGCTAAACTAAAACGATTGCTCAAAGAAATAAAGAGGCCGAGGAAAGGCAAAGGCATAAGGAAGAGAAAGCAAAGAAGGCTAAAGAAAGGAAAATGCAGGAAATAGAGGAAAGATGCCTGCAAGTGGAGGCTAAAGTAGCAGCCAACCTCACGAGGCTCTATGAAATGCATATTTGGATAGCCGCGAAAGAAAGATTTGTAGAGGCCTACATGAACAACATCCAACCAATATGATGCGGAAGTTGTCGCATTCATTTCATCACCCACCACCACCTCTCCTACTGAAGGCACTTACTGCTACCACTTCCTCGTAACCAACACAAGAGGCATATGTAGAGATCACCGGACTGCAGCCTAAGACTGCAGTGTCTGCACTAAAATATATAAATATATCTCTGCAGGCTCAGCTGGAGTGTCTTAAGGCGTCGAACTTGGCATGGGTATCCAAAATGAATAAAACTAAAAAAATGACAATATTTTGTTTTTGCATTTTCTATGTGGAAACTTGATTCTGACTGTGTTCTTAATTGTTCTTACCATAATTATGTGTCCATATTTTAATTGCAATGGATCCTTATAATTTTATTTCACGAAACATCTTAATGATTAGTTCTTGATAAGTTTTGAACGCGAACTCAGAAATTTGAAACCGAACCCAGACAATAATTAGGATAATTTTCAATGTAAGTAATGACTTGATCAGTTGAATACGCGAGTGTCTCATCGTTTCATCGAATCCTCACTTAGTCGAATCGCATGAGACTTTTTTTTGCATCTACTAAACTAGCTTGTGAAAACAAAGCATCTTTGCTCTTTAAAAATGAGACTGATAGGAAAGGAATGTGACAAAGGATTCTTCTTATGTGGCCAAAACATAAGAAAAAAATCAAATTGTGAGAAATTCACAATGTTGCACTATAATGAGTGATTCAAAAAAAAAAAAAAGCAAATAGACATTAGTGCTGGAAAGAAAATATTCACACTCAAAATGATGTCTGAAAAATATTGTTGCTACTGTTAAGCTAAACATATGTAAAGAGTCCCCTTGGTGAACTAAGTAATAATGACTCGAGAGTATTTGGTGCACCGTTTGATCAGTTTAGCGAAGAAGAAGTTTTAAGAATCCTGTTGAGTTACTAAGATTTTTTCTGAGTACCATCGTGACACCTTTCTAGAAGATTTTTTACTTGTGTGAACATTTTCTTGATTATACTTTTGATTGACTTTGTTCAAGAACAAATAAAGGCTACTGTGAGTAGGTTTGATAATACTAGTTTTGGGCATATTTTCCTAGTGATTTCTATGAGCATATCTTGTGATTTTAGACTGAATATTCCATAGTTTGTGTAAAAATACCTTGATAATTGTGTTTTATGTCTTTCTTGTATGATTTGATTTGGCTTGGTCGTGATTCAAAAGCAGCCAGTGTTTTTTATGCTTGGTGTCGCGATTAAGAAAGAGTTTGTATAAAATGTGAAAATGTGTGGGAAGATGTTTATGCTAGAATGAAAGCTGAGTTGATGAGGATCTGCATCTCAATCCATGTCAAAACAATCTTAGTTGTTGGTTAAGAATGCTACAGGATTGGATGGTAGAGAATCAATTCGCCAGTTTTCAATGGTAACCGCCACCTTCTAGAAGCTTGGACGGTGCCTATAAATAGGAGTCAACTCGAAGCTCATATATAGAGATTTTCACAAGTTGAAAATCGCATTTTTTGTGAGAAGAGCTCAGGCTATAAGAAGCTCTCGACGCCTAAAAAGGCTGGTCGGCAGCACTCATGATAGAAGTTGCGTGCTCTCTATCCATCCCATTTAAATTCTACACATCGATAAATTTACAAGCTTTTCACTATAAATCGTAATATTAAATTCATAGTGTAATCACATCATTCGATTCAATTAATCCTTTGAGTAATGTAATATCGCAATTTTTCCATCGCATTCGCACTCGTAGATGACATATACTTAAGATAAAAACTCGCAAAGTATCTCACGAATTTGGACTAAAACACAAATATAAGTCACTTAACATAATCTATTTAGATGAATCCGAGAGGAAATCACGCTGCTAGGTAAACCCAGAACTCTCATAAAAGTGATCCTTGAACGCAAGTTGACTTAGAAAAGCAGTGAAGTATGCACCTAAATAATAGGTCATCGGTTCAATAATCGAGGATTAGTTTGTCGTTCCGCAATACGTAGAGGCTAGAAAAGTATAAGACTCATGAAGTACATTAACAAGTGAATATCTCAAGTAATCACCATCACAAAATATTCTAACGCACAAAATGCAT